TAGAAGCATCTACAGTTATTAAAAATTCTTTAGTAAAATCAGGATATTGTAAAAGTTAAGGAGACATTAAGGCTGATTTTATGTGTTCAAATGTAGTTTCGCAAGCGTTGTCCCATAAGAATTCGCCATTTTTCCGACTCAGTTTATTTAAAGGTGCTGCCAGCGACGCAAAGTTTGGTATGAACCTTCTATAGTAATTTGCAAACGCAACGAAACGTCGAACCGCGTCTTTATCAGAAGGTTTTGTATATTTTTTGATTGCGTTTATTTTTGAATCGTCTGGCAGCAGTCCCTTTCTGAGCAATTGTGCCCTAAAAATGCTACCTCAGAACAAACAAAATTGCATTTAGTTGGGTTTAGCTTGAGATTGATTTTCTACATGTTTCGAATACTTTAGCCAGATTTTTTAGATGGTGGGTCTCACTACAACCGATAACTATGACGTCATCAACGTACAAAAAAGCTTCATTTGGAGAAATGCCTGAAAAGGCTATCGACATCATTCAAGAAAAAGAATTTGGTGCTACATTTAAACCAAATCGTAAAACTTTCCAGCGAAAAGCTCCCTTGTGCTGAAAGATGTTATGTCGCGCGAGTTTTTATGCAGTGGGATTTGGTGAAAACCAGAAAACAGATCTAAAGTCGAAAAGTATTTTGCTCGACCAAGGTTATCTAAGATATCGCCTACACGCGCTAGTGGAAATTCGTCAGCGATAAGCTTTTTGTTAACTGCCCTAAATTCAACGCACATGCGGTACGATTTTTGGCCTGATGGGTCTTTTTCAGGTACTAAGATTAATGGACTATTATAATTTGTGGAGCTTGGTTCGATTAAATCATTTCGCAGTAAAGTATCGACTTGTCTATTTATTTCTTCGCGTTATGAGTACGGCAAACGATAATTTTTTTATATAAAAGGGAGTCTCGTCATTCAGTCGAAGTTTCTGTTCATAAAAGTTATTGAGTCTCATAAGGTCTGTTTTTAAGGCGTATTGTAAGCATAATTCGAGCAATTTATTTTTAGCATATTATGGCTTTTTTTTTGTAAAATTGACTTTAGTTCCTCTGAACGTTTCGTGTCTGTGGGAGTTTCGTTTATTTTGTAGACATTATAGTTACTGATATCCTCAGCTTTGATGTTATAGTTTAGAACGTATTTTACCTCTACCGTAGTATTTAATACTTTTAAAATTGGGTTTTTAGTGTCAACGACACATTTTGATGTAAAAACACCAGAACAAAGCTCGTGAG